GTTGCAGCCACTCTATCATCGTTCAGGAGTATTTTATTTTTTTTTTAATTTTTTTTTTTTTCCTTCCTTCCCCCTGCCTTCTCCTGAGCTGTTGCATTTACACGAGCTGCCCGGAGCTGGATTTACAGGGCAGGTGCCCGAGCAAAGCGCAGAAGAGCTGGCTGGGCCCCAGGCAAAAAGGGGAAGAGGAGAATTTCACAAAAGCCTTTCAGATTGTGGTTTTATATGATAGGGACTGCAGAACAACATCCATCTTCAGGCTTAACATTTCATCTCTAGATCAACAGTCCGTTCCTTCCCCCACGTTCAGCTGCAGCTGCTGGCTTATCTCTCCATTAAAGCATTTTCCTCTTATTGCGCAGTTTCACATGAGAAGGAATAAATGCCAGATGGGTCTCCCCTCCAGGTCACCACGCTGCGAGCCCCGGTCTACGCCGCAGCCCAGGGTGACACTGGATTCTGCAGTCTGGGATTCATCGTTGGCCAAAACCACAAACTTGGGAGAAGTCAAGGCCAAGAATGAATACTCTGGGGGGGACAAGATTTCCAAACAGGAGGACTGAGAGTTTGCCTCCCTGGAAATTCCCATGCTGGAAGCACAAAGGTGCTGAACGGAGACGCCTTCGAAAGTGCCTGAAGCACCAACTTTCAAAAGCATTTAAGGAGCTGGAGCCCCTAAGGGGTGTTTTTGAAACCGGCCGAGATGTTTTTGGAGCCCAGAAGTGGGATGGAGCAGACGGTGCCAGGGATCTGCAGCCCTGCAGCTACGGCCGAACACAGCACGGTGCTAGGGAAAACGGCATGGCCACGCTCTGCTGCCCAAAAAAACAATAGGAAAAAAAAAGCAACGCTGGAGGTTGAGGTCCCTCCACGTGGAAATGCCGTCATTGGCCTCGGGTCAGGCACCCGGCTGCCTGGAGGAGGAGACGATGCTCCTTACAGACCAGGTTTTGCCAACGCGTTTTTATCTGGTTACTCTTAACCACAGCGGTCAAACCCACTCCAGTGCCTGGTTCCTGTCTACCTACGCAGCAGCCAAAACCAAGACCTTATGGGGGTCCATCTCTTTTGCTTCGAAGCATCCTGGGACCCTCACCCTTTGCCAGGAATGTGTGGGTGCCGCCGTACTCACACAGCCCACCCTTCCTTCCCACGTCAAGCTGTGGCCGTGCCTGCTCAGCTCCTTGTCCCTGCCTCTCCCAACCACCCCGGGGAAGCGGGCAAGCCCTGGTATTTTTATTACCATTACCATCGCTGCCAAGCGCTTGCGTCAGTGGCCAGGAGGAGGCTGCGCTCTCCTTTATGAAGCTCAGGGAAGATAAGATTGGACCGTGAAGTCTTGACAGGATGCTGCCAAACTTCAGGGAACTGATGGAGCATCTTCCCAACGTATCCTCGGATATCTGCGTGTCCCCAGCTCTTCCCAGCGGCACCAGTCACCGCCAGACATGCGCTTTCTGGGCAGCAGCACTGTGGCCCCCCCTCCCCAATATTTCAGTGGAAGTCTCAGCACAGGAAAGATGAGGCGGGAGGGAGCGTGTGGGAAGCAGTTTGTGCTGTGCCCACATGAGATGCTCATTCATTTGGCAGAGGAGGAGAACCAAGGAAACATCGCGGTCAGCAACTGAGCCCCCTCCGTCTTCTCGGTGCCCGGTGCCACGGCATTAACGGCTTTACCAGCAACCGTGGTGAGAGATGCCAGGGAGCTGCTGAGCTCTGAGGAGCTCCCTATTCCAGGGAGGGAGAAGCTCACAATGTTTGCTGATGTATCTGAAGTTATTGTGGTTATTTAGCTCTCTTGCCAGTGTCAAAGGGAAAGGCAGGAGCCTTCGAGCCGTCCCTGCCTTCGTGCTATCCCCTACCTTCGAGCCATCCCCTAACTTTGAACCATCCCCTCCCTGCCTTCGAGCCATCCCCTGCCCTGCTGCAAGGCGGACGGAGCCAACAGCTGGCATGGAAGCAACTCCATTTTTTTACAGCCACGATCAAAATTCTCCGTGCCAAGAGAGAACCTCCGGCAGGACCAACCCTGCTCCGGCTCCGTGGAGAGATGCCACTGGGTTGGTGCATCCAGAGAGGAGGCTGTGGTGCTGGCTCATCATTCAAAGTCCTGCTGGGAGGAGCAGATCCTGCACTCCCTTCAGGTTCTTCCAGCTTAGCTCTTGTTCCTGAGATGCTGAAGGAAAGGAGGTGGCAAGAAAATAGGGCTCTCACCGCTCCGGCTCAGAGCTGTCAGGGATCAGTCTTAGGGAAAACGAGTGGCTTGTTGTGCCACATCACCTCCTTCCCCCCAAAAAATGCCATCTGGGGCTCGCGGTGGCTGCCGGGGGAAGGCAGAATTGGGGACACGAGGGTGTTCTTAGAGGGCAGCCCCTTGCCCTGTCCTCCCAAGCTCATTTCCAGCAGCTGCTCTGCTGCAAAATGCTTCCAGGCTGCAAAAAAAAACCCCCATGTGGGAGCACAAAGGGGCTCCCTGGGCTTCCCGATGCCCCTGGGAAAAAGAGGTCAGCGGCGTCTGAAGAAAAGCAAAGGGGGAAAAGGCTCTGGTTTTCAATCGGAGGGGGTCAGAGTGAAGGCCAAAGGATTTGCCTGTGGCCACCGAGCCAGACAGTAGCAGAGAGAGGAGATTTTCCCACCCCACCGGTGTGAGAGATGCTAACAGAAGTACCTGAGCTGCTCTGGTAATAAAAGTGCATTTAGGACCACTAAAGGCAAAAAAAACCCTTCACCGCTTTAGTGCTGGGGCAAGGTGCGACCACGCGCCAGCTAAGGTGCTGCCAAAATTCAGGGATGCGTCACCAGCCCTGCAGGAGATGCTGCTCTTTGAGTTTTGCGGACAAGGCTGAGTTCAGGATAAACCTAAAAACCTGCTTTTCCCGAGGATTTCACACGCAGCAATGGTTATATTTTATCAAATCAGGTAGCCCAGAGCAGAGCCGCAGGGCGGCTGCTTCCCCAGGTGTCCTACGGCCCCTCCAGGCTTTTGTTTTAGGGATATCTCATTCTGTATCCCACCACCACAACCCAGCTTTCCACTTACAAGATGCCTTCAGCCCCTCCAGCCCCGCAGATCCCTTCCCTCTCTTTGGCTCTGGCTGGGTTCACCGACACTCACACACCGCGGCTGATCGACGCAATTCAAACCCTACGATGCGCAGAGGAGCGCGGCAGCCCTGTCTTCTCCTGGAAGCTCTAGCAGGGTGTTCAAAAGCAAATGAAGTCGGACTGGATCGTTGTTGTAGGTCCCTTCCAACTGAAACACTCTATTCGACTCTATTTTATGCTATTCGATTCCAGCCCATTTACTCTAGCCCGTTCTGTTCTAGTCTGTTCTGGTTTGTTCTGTTCTATTCTCTTCCATTCTACTCTATTCTGTTTCTATTCTGTTCCAATTCATTTTCTCTCCTCTCCTCTCCTCTCCTCTCCTCTCCTCTCCTCTTTTCTCTTCTCTTCTCTTCTCTTCTCTTCTCTTCTCTTCTCTTCTCTTCTCTTCTCTTCTCCTCTTTCTATTCTATTCTATTCCATTTACTTTATTCTGTTCTGTTCTGTTCTTATTCTATCCTATTCTATTCTGTTCTATTTCTATTCTATTCTATTCTGTTCTATTTCTATTTCTATTCTATTCTGTTCTTATTCTATTCTATTCTTATTCATATTCTATTCTATTCCTATTCCTATTTCTTTCTATTCTATTCTATTCTATTCTATTCTATTCTATTCTATTCTATTCTATTCTATTCCTATTTCTATTTCTATTCTATTCTATTCTGTTCTGTTCTTATTCATATTCTATTCCATTCTACTCTATTCTATTCTTATCCTATTCTATTCTTATTCTTATTTTTATTCTATCCTATCCTATCCTATTCTATTCTTATGCTATTCTATTCTATTCTACTTCTATGCTGAAGGCCCAGCCTTGCCATCATGAGCAGCGCAGAGCCCAGCGCCGTGGCCACGGCAAAGACAGGCGCAGCCACGCGGCGTTAACCGCCGACACGGGCTCCCTCCCACCGCAGAGCAGGTGCCTCGCCGCCAGCTCCCAGTGTGACGGTCCGGGGACGACGTGCCCGCTCTTCTCCCCCTCTGATCGGCTTTTCACCCCGGGAGCAGGACCTTCCTTGCAAAGCAAAGCTCCTCGGGTTAAATCTCCTGGCCCGCATGTCCCAGGCGGACATGGGATGGAGTTGGGTGCTGTCATCTCCTGGACATCCTTGGACATCCCACATTTCTTGAAAAAGCATCCCAACAACCAAGGGCTCGTCCTTTCTGCCTCGTCAGCCAACAGCTCATCCCTTCTGCCTCTTCATCCCTGCCACCATCACCGCGTTTAACCAAACCGAAACACCTCTCTTTGGACAGCATCCCTTCGCAGGACACCTCCGTGGTCCTGACCATCTCACCTCCTCCTCACCACCCTACATCACACTGATGCCCTTTCCCAACCCACCCTTCCAGAACCCCACGTTGCGACAGAGCCTCCAAGGCGGTCAAAACAGAGCCAGGAGGGAAGGAAAAATCAGAGGAAAAACGAAGAGCACTTACTTCTCGTAGTCATGCTTGCAGTAGAGCTGCCGGTTGCGACAGTAGCAGGTGCCGGAGAGGGGCTGCAGGCAAACGGCGCATTTCACGCAGCCTTCGTGCCAGGAACGCTCGTTGACTCGTAGAAGGAATCGATCGGAGATGGGGCTGTCGCAGCCGGCACAAACCTCCCGCATCTTGGAGTCTGAACCTGGGCGTCGGGGAAAAGACGGCGTGAGAAGGAGTTTTCCTTTGCTTGGCCTCCCGTAACTCCTCGCTATCATCTGCTGTTGGGTTTTTGCCTCTTTTTTTTTTGTTGGTTGGTTTAAAGCCACGTGTAGGAGAGGGAGAAGGGAGGCTCGGCACGGAGGTGTTTGTGACAACCTTGAAAATCAACGTCAAAGTTGGCTCTGCAAAAGCAGCAGGGTTTGGGTTTCTCTGCAGGTGGTAAATTCCTGGTGAACCCCAAGTCATGTCCCCCCCCCTGGTTTCGGCACGGTATAAATCTCAGTGGCCGTGGAGAACACGCGTTTGGGAACCAGAAAGCAAATGAACAGGTGTCTCGACAGGAGACGGTGGGCGCTGAGCTTGTTGGAAACCCTTGGTCCAGGTCAGAGGACAACCCTACGTCTGAATTTTGTCCAATTTCATCCCAGATTTGGTGCTAAGAGCTGCTTAAAAAAGGCACCAGAGCTTTGGGACTTTTTTTTTTTTTCCTCCTCTAGCGTTATCAACACCTAAATCTATGGCTCCTCTTCAAAGGCTTTGTCCCGATAACTTCAAGGTAGAGGAGTGAGTAATAAAGACACGCTCTGGGGCACTGGGTCTGGGTTGCAGCACCCTCTCCGATGTCCCCAACCTTCACCCTGCCAAGCTCCTTGAGGTTTTACGAGCACTTATCTCCATCCTCTCCGGTTTCTCGACGCTTTTATCCTCCTGTAAGCTTCTGGATCCTGGGATAACACCTGCCCAACCCCCCACACACACACAAAAAAAAAGCTTGGAGGGGCGACGACATCCCACAGATGAAGCTTATGGGTGTTCTAAAAGCCCGAGGGCAACCAAGGTCTTCTGCTGCACGTTGGAGGAACGTAGGGTTGAGGGGAAATGCTAAGCCCGGCTCTAATTTGGGCACTGTCTTAAGACAAGGAGTCAAAGGCGACAAGGAATGGTGGCGAATGGCAGGAGGCACGTTCTGCACGAAGCTGGGAGACCTGGAGAAGCCCTGACCCAACAGCATCTCCAGCAAAAGGGGATGTTCTCCTTCTCCAGCACCACGCAGAGACCTTCCCAACCCTGCAGATCTTCTCTCCCAGTCTCTGGGGAGCAGCCCTAATACCCTACTACTCTCCTCCGCTGGTGAAAATCCCAACCAAGACCCTAAATCTTGAGTTTGGGTCCTGCATCTCCAGCCTCCCAGCCGGCATCGCCACCAGCTGAGCCTGACAAACACGTGCCGGGGCGATGCCGGACATGTCGGCGAGTTGAGTCCTTTGCCACTCCCAGCTCATTAATTAAATGCTGAGACCTGGAAAACTGGGTGATGGGAGCAGTTGGAGGGGACCAGACCCTGAGAACCCTCCTGCGGATCGGGATGCAGCAAATCGGGAGTGGAAATGAAGATTTTAGCCCAAGAAGAAGAAAAAGGAATGTAATGGTGCCGGCAAGGCAATGGCCAAGGCAACAAGTGACCACGTCCCACGGGCTGCGGGCATGTGCCGAGGTTCTCCGTGGATATTTATCCCACGGCAAGCCTCCGTTTCTCCATTTTCCTCCATTATTAACTTCCAGAGTTCAAATATTTTTCACCCTTCTCAATTTTAACCCCATGGGCTGCTCGTCACTACGAGACCAGCCAGCCCTCCAGTGGGTTAGAGGCATCAGGACCGCCCGTCAAAAAAAACCCACACCCAATTCCTCTTTAATTTAGGGGGAAAAAACAGGGAATAATCTAATAGGAGATTAGTCTGAGAGGAGATGGTTAAATCACCGGGAAGCTCCGGGAATGTGGGATCAGGCTGAAAGGGAGAGACACAAAACTTCAGCCCTGGGGATGTTTGTGTCCCTCTCTCTCACCCGGCGAGGAGCCAGGGGGATCCCAAGGATTTGGGGAGGTGGGATACAGCAGGATCCTCCCGCTGCCCACCCATGTCGTGGCTCGGGATGCGCGGGCAGAGCCTGGAGTTGAGATTACTGCCCGGCATGAAGTCACACCTGAGTCTTCCTCGACACAAACCCACCAAGATGGTGATGCCGGAACACAACGAGTGAGCCCCAGCTCTGGGGAGGAAGAGGAGATGTTAAAAAAAAATCCCTGGAAAACTGTCGGATTCCCTCAAGTCCCCCCCCCACCCCCCCCCCCGCAGCCGGCCTGGGAGAAGGAGGGAAAACTGAAAGTAAAGGAAATTCTGCCCTAAAAACATCAGGCTTATAAAAACGCAAGATTTTGGTTAACGAAGAGCGATCCCGACCCACTGCGTTGTGGCTGAGAAAGGGATGACGAGGGGGACAGGGGAGGCAGCTCCGGTGCCTCATCTCGATGTTATCCAAAATAAACACACATACACCCACCCCCCCGCATCCAGGGCAAATACCCTCGCTGGGATTGAAAATTGGGTTCAGCGAAGCCGGTTCTGGCCCGTGGTTGCGGTGATGGAAGGCCACGTCACCGCAACCGGGTCCTGTGTGGGATGCTCCCTAAAATTCAGCGGAGA